AAAGTGTGCCATCATTATTCCCTGAAGTGAACACAGTCGCTGCCTCAGTTTTTTTGTCTCATGTTAGCATTGAAAGAGTTAACACATTGGCATAGATTTGTTTTGCGGAGTAACGGTTTTTAAATCATTTGCCACCTTTGACTTTCACCACTCAGATCTCGCTAACGTGAGAAACAGCAGCAACATGAGATACTGCTAACGGTGGTGCTAATGGTTCAGCTTTGATCTCGTTAACAGACGTATTTACACGAACCAATATCATGGAAGACGCGTTTACTATTTATAAAGGTGAATCCTCTGTGTTCTTATGTGTATTCTTTTACTGTAACTCACTTTGAACACTGTTGTTCTTGCACTGTATTGACTCCACAGTGTTTGACTGTTTGTACTTTATAGCTCTCTGTATTATTTACTCAAGTTCCTATTAAACATCTCCATCTTTCAGTTCATGTTCTCAGATTTCCTCCTCTCTGCACCTGTTTTCTCTGGTTATCTCTTATTTTATCCTCCTTTACATCTCTACGTGTCTTTTTGTGTGGACACACTCGGACTGGGAGGAAACAGTCGTTCATTCTGAGGAGATAGTAAATCAGCCTTGAATCTATATAAATAAGCGTTATTATTATCATTATAGTTGTTAGCAAATGAGCGAATAAACAGATCCGCTGGCAGTCTGTGAGTGCATGTTTACATGCTGATTAGAGGCGATAATATGGGGTTAGTTAAGGTGTTTGTTGGTTAACGTCCCTGCAGAGCAGCTGTGTGTTTTCAGGGTGTGTCTGACATACCTGAGCAATCAAACACTACATGACCAGACAGCTCCAACCTGACTCCTCAGTCTGACTGTAAACCAGCAGAGCCTGACTGGAACCAGACTCATCACCGAGCCCACCAGCAGCTGTAGCCCCTCCACCGACCCCCTCCGGTGGCAGGGAGGAGGTCGGGGTGGATAATTGGGTCAAACATATTGTAACATGACAACTATGGTCCTCTAACGTTAACAAAACACTTATTTTAACCTGAACCTCAGCTTTCCCTGAACCCAACCAAACCTTCACCGCAGCACCATCACATCATGAGAGCGTTAGTTATTGTGTGCTCGAATCAGACGGTCAAACCTCC